ATTGACTTCTATCCAGAAAGTGCAGGAGAATTAGGTCTGTTCCTACAATAACCCTATCTGATTGTCCAGGGTCAAGCTACTGTTTATCTTTGCTAGGCAGAACCCATATCCTGAGCATACTCTATGTTTTTCACCAATTACTTCAAGGCAAGACAGGCTCTGACGTTCTTTCTACCTAATCACCTAAACAATAATAAAAAGACTCTATTTTTTTTTCTAAAGTATTAGGTAAAAGTAAACACACAGACACTGTAGTCAAGAGTGTCTTTTATTTTCCTTACGAGCGCTCAGCCTTTTGCAAAAGAAGGGCAGTGCTGCCCTCTACTGCTGGATGCTGGAATGTTAGCAATACACTTCTGTATACCTCACTAGCTGTGTGGAATAGATTAGGACCGTACATTACACTGCTTTAGACTATCCCTTTAGGAATTGTTTAAAATAAATGTGTTCTTGGAAAACCCGCTGAATATGTTTCCTTCACTATCTATTCATTTACCTTCATCTTGTATCAAAGCATAGGATGTTAGAACATGACCCAATAAAAAAAAGGATAGCCCAGCCTTGGTGAGGGGTTTCAGGAGGGAAGCTTAAGACCTTCTCTAGAAGTAAGAGGCTGTATTTGTCATGCATTTAGGGAGAAACAGGACAAGAAGAGGAAAATTTCTTAAGACTTCAGGTCTACAGTCTTCCCCTTCTTCTGTTGTCTGAAGTGTCTTCATTTGCTTTTTGCTAAGGCTATCCATGTCCATTGTGTTTTTGACAGGAGACAACAGTCACCTTGAAATGTAGAGAGAGTAGTAGAATCGTGTTTCTAAAACACTTTCTACTCTTCAGAAAAGGATAATATGGAAACACAAAGAGTAATTATTAACAGTTATATTTTAATTAAATATTAAGTATGCTGTCTTGTTACTTTTAAATTGCTTTGAGATTTTACAGATATCTATGGAGACTTTTTGGAGAACTCTAAATATTTAAAAACTTGTGTTCTCTGCTTTCTTTTCCATCTTTAAAAAATTTCAGAGTATATTCCTGCAAGAGGCCAGGGCTGAGAGTTAGCCTAACCACTACCCTAGAGCTATTCAGGGACCAAAGTGTAACTGAATAACAACAACAACAACAACAATTCCTACAACTGTGTTCAAGGTGTGTGTGTGTCAATGCTAAGCAAAAATATTTTTGTCCCAAGTTATACAGCTACATTAAGAGATTTACTGCAAGTTTCAAAACTAGTAAGAGGCAAAATTAGATTCTGATTGTGGGTGCAAAGCCTATGCATTGTTCTACTACACAGCTCCTCATTCAAATCTCAAAGGCAAGTGCTAGTAAACATTTGTGATGATGATGCTGGTGACAGTGAACATATTGAGTACTTACTGAGTGTCCCTCGAAAGTCAGTGTTTTACATTCATTTAATTACATTACATCATCTAATCTTCACTTCATGAGGTAGAACTATTATTATCCTCATGTTACAACTGAAACTGAGGCATACAGAGGAAATTTAGTTTCAGAGGTCATGCTTTTAACCATATGCTATACTGCTTCTTAAGTACAAAAACTATACAGCGCAATAATTTCTACATGGTGGCCTAGAACTTAATTATGTTCAGCAAGTGGATAAAACCATCAGTAGTTGTCATCTTATTGCTATCTGTTATACAAAGGTCTCAGCAGCTTTAAAAAAATGGTCTGCTCATGTAGATGCCTGGTTCTGATGCTAACATTAGACCCTCAGCCCTCATTGGACATACCCTTCTATGGATTAGGAAGCGACAATAGACCTTCACTTGGTCCAATCCTTGTGTGCTGATGGGGGAGGAGTCATACATATGGGAGGGAGGAGAGAAATGAGGGACGAGAAACAAAAGGAGATGATAGTTCCACTAAGGCATGCCCAGGAAACAAGCCAGCTAATTTGAAGGAAGAGGTTGATAAGCAATCACTTTCCTTAACAAGAGTAAACTCAATACAGTGGGAGAACAGCATAGGCTTAGGGCCTCTATGCTTATCTTATTGCCCACTATTTAGTCACACAGTGATTCTTTTTTTTTTTTTTAAGCTTATTTATTTTGAGAGAGAGAGAGGGAGAGAGAGAGAGAGCGCTTGCGAGCAAAAAAGAGGAAGGGGCAAAGAAAGAAAGGGAAAGAGAATCCCAAGCAGGCTCCACACCACCAGTGCAGAGCCCAATGCTGGGATCGAACTTACAGATTGTGAGATCATGACTTGAGCTGAAGTTAGACACTTAATGGACAGCCACCCAGGTGCCCCTGCCACACAGTGATACTTGAACAGATCTCCTCTTGTAGCTTTGGGTTTTAAAGAAATGCTTGTTCAGCACACAAGTCAGCTTCTAAATAATATCTTACTGTTAGTGACAGTATACACCTAAATATAACTATTCCAAAGCACTTCGCACTTCAGTCCAAAGCGTGAAAAACTCCTCCCTCCCCTGATTTGTTCCTAAGTTTAGATCTCCTCGGTATCAGGGGCAAGATTGAGTACAATAAGCAGATGCTGACTTGCTTAGAGGTCCATGCAGTGTCCATGAATGACCCAGCTTGGCCTGCCTATTACGCTATGGGGCACGCGGCTCAGCCCTGAAGCCATCAGATTTCCAGGAGAGTGTATTCTAGAAATTCATTCCAGATGAAGCTCCTGTTGTGTGAGTTCTGAGTTCCTCCATCCCAAGTCTTTTGAAGAAAAAAAAAAAAAAAGCATCCAGAAGGGAGATGCTAGGGAGGATGCTTGAACAGTCATAGCAACCTCATGAGGCAGGGAGAATATCAGTCCTTCTTTCTTTTGACCCTATTGCCCTCTCCCTGGACACTCACTTTACCTGGGCAATGTTCACCTCTAAAGAGTCTTTTGCTTGGTCTATCCATTCAGCAGAGAGGCAGTGTTGCTCAATTCCAAGTCAAAGTGTTAAAATTAGCAATGGCCTGGAAAGCATTTTGTTTATTTCAAGATTGGCATTTTGTGTAGAGGGGTAGCCTGCAGGACTCAAGACAGAAGGATACTGAACATAATCTCCAAGAACATTACCAAGGACATGGACCCCACATAATATGTAGTTCCCCTTCCTGCTACACCCAGTTACTGTCTGCTCCTTTGTAAAATTTGGAACAGATATTATGAAGATAGGAAAAAAACTGCATATACCACTTTCTTTTCCCCTATCGGCATTGACTTGGTTACGGAGCTGCTTAGATTGTCAGTAAATATTTATTTGGACTTAGCTAAGTTGAGTGTTTAGGGGACCATGGGTTGTTTTTTCCCCAGGGAATGACGTAAGAAATGACCATGATATTGTTGGCCAATGCTGTGAAACTCATACTTTTCAAACTCTGGGAAGGTTGGGCTATAGAACACTGGTCTCAGCAGTTGCCCTTTGCCTTTGCTTTTGGCACCACTAAAAAGTTCATTGTCATTTCACCTTCAGTGTTGAACTTGCAATCTTAGAGGAAAACGTTGTTAATGAAGCACTATGGGCAGTTTACCTTTAAAAGCAGAGGTAAAGCTTCTGAAGAAAAAAAAAAGGCAGGCGATACAAAGGTTGCCAAGTGTCGCACAAAGATTTTTTGGCTTGTGTTCATTACTTTGAATGGAAAATTCATTTTGAGATTTGTCCTATTATCCAGTAAACAGAGGCTGAGGTATTGTTCTCTTCTGTAATACCAAGCAAAAGGATTCCTCCTTCCACCATTTATTGAAAACTTACTAAGTGCAAAAAACTGGGGGATACTTATATAGAGTAAGATCTCTAGCCAAAAGAAGCTTACCATCTACATGGGTGTGGCAGATGTGCACTGACAACAATGGCTAACATTTAGGGAGTACTTACTCTATGCAGCTAAACACTTTATATGTATTAACTCATATAATCCCCATAACAACCCTGAGGACAATACTATTATCTCCACTTTACAGAGCAGGAACAGAGAGGTTAAGTAACTTGCCTAAACCTGCCCAAGTCAGTAAATGACAGAGCCAGACTCTAAACCTAGGTGGTCTGGCTCCAGAGTTAGGTTCTTAACTAGGGCATTTTCTGAAATGGTAATATTGTCAACAAGGTACAGAAGCACAGGAAAAGAGAGACGGATTTTGACCAGGGTGAGGATTAAGGAAAGTCTTTATGAAGGAGACACTTACTTTGGGTCCTGAGGGTCACCAGGTGGTGAAGGGAGCTGGGGAGGTACAGCCTGACTATAAGAAGAGGCAGTTTGGGTACCAGCCAGCTGCTGACAACGGAATCTGGTTGAGTGTGCGTGTGGGAGAAAAGCGGGAGAGGGACTGTGCACAGATCCTGAAGGTCCTTGAAGACCAGGCCCTTAGGGAAAGGGGAGCAAAAATCTAAAAAAAAAAAAAAAAAAAAAAAAGAAAGAAAGAAAGAAAGAAAGAAAGAAAAGCTGCAGAAAGGAATTTCTGGTCACTCATCCACTTTTTAGTAGGATGTTCCTTGCCTGACACTCACTCACCCACATTTCTCTCAGGGGGAAAAGCCGACCAGGATGGTCAAGGTCACCTGCCAGGGCTCCAGAGCTGCACTTCTGGCCAAGGACTCTCGTCCCTGAGCGCAGACGCCCGGGATTTGGCTGCCAGCCCGGGTCAGGTACGTGAACGCCGTCAGGCCTGGCAGCGAGAACGCCTGCTTCGTGGGTATCGGAAGGGCCAGTCCTCCGGAATTCCCGCCGGCCACCTAGCTTCTCTCTTGGCCTTGGCCCTCGAAGGTCAAGTAGGCCACCTTCGGCGCACCCGGCTACTCGGCTCCTCCCTCAGCACAGAGATCCAAGGGATAGCGTTCTCAACTATAGGAGTCCGCTCTGCCAATCAATTCTAGCCCCCGCCCCATCTCAGCCAGAGCACAGTGCATTGGTTGCATCATTACTAGCCTCTGATAAGATTCTCTTCTTGGATTGGCTAACAGCATCCCCTCCCTCCTGTTCCTTCTGCGTCAGAAGCTCGCGATTGGTTCACCGCGTTGCCAAGTTCCGGACGCAGCTAGGCCATTGGAGGCTGCGGGCCCGCCCCTGCCAGCTAGGTGAAGGTGAGAGTCTCCTCCAGTCACCGGGGCTAGACGGGACCGTGTGGCTCCGGACGCAGAGTGAAAGCCCTCGGCCGTCTCCAGCTGTCCTGCAATGGCGCCTCCTTCTGTGTTCGCCGAGGTCCCGCAGGCCCAGCCCGTCCTTGTCTTTAAGCTCACTGCCGACTTCCGGGAGGATCCGGACCCCCGCAAGGTCAACCTAGGAGTGGGAGGTAAAGATGCAGTGCTTAGGAGTAGAAGCAGCCTGGGGAGTGGAGCGGACCTAACCTGCGCCGCGGGGAGTGGGAGAGGTCGAGGCCCAGCTTGGCGCTGGCCGCAGAGGGGAGCCCCTGAGAGGAGGCAAGATCCACGAAGGTTTTTCAATCTGCCCATTTTACAGATGAGCATATGGAGGCCCTGGGAAAAGGAGATGTGCCCAAGGTCCACGGTACAGATCTAGCAGCCAGGGCACTAACCTGGTTCTTCCGATTCCTCATTCTGTGTTCTTTATACCGCATCCTTTCACGTGTTAATAAATGGGGCGCCCAAAGATTGGAAGGAGAGGGAGGAAGCTAGGAAGGCTGATAGGCTTGAAGTCCTGGCTACTGGGGAATGGATGAAGGAGAACTCTGAGCCTTAGGGAACTCTGATCTGGGTCACTAAATGTTTGAGTGACTACCAGGTATCAATCAGTACTTTAACAAACCTTGTGGGGGGAACACTGAGGGTTGGTTTTGGCCTCAAGGATGTTAAAGTCAGGATATGATATAATAGAAATGTAAAATACTTCTGAGACAGGTTAATGCTGCCTGGGAGAATCTGGGAAGAATAGTCTGGCCCTCAGAGATGTGGTAGGAATGGGTAGAGATGGTGGGAAGGAGTAGAAAGAATGTGGAGGTAGGAGCTCCCTTTTCGCGCATTCTTGTTTTCATTTTTTGTTTGTATTTCTTGGACCTGGGACAGCTCGGTACATGGGCCTCAGTTTCCCCTTATGCAAGAAAAGGGTTTAGACTGGAGTACCTTAAAATAACTCCAACCTTTGGTGAATTTGTTGTTTCTCTCACTGTCATTTGAACGTTTGAAGCCCCACAGATGCTCGACCACATACAAAGACCAGTCAGGTTGAAGAAAATGAGTATGATGATGTTCTGTGCTAAGGAACATACGTAGAGGACTAGAGATTTTGGAAAGGGAAAATCGAGGGTGGCAAGAAGGAGGTTCAGAATCAGGCTTCCCACAGTGAGTGTTCATAGGACCTCTTAAAAAAAAAGTCTTTACCAAGGAGTATGAGGGAGGGGAGGAAAAAAAGCCATTAAAAAGTATGGTTTGTTGAATCTAGGTAATGAGTACATGAAACACCCATTATTCTTGCAACTTCTGTATATGTTGGAAATTTTCCATAATAAAGCATTTTTTAAAAAGCAAATACTGCATAGTTTAGCCCATGGAGAGAAAGTGATGTTTTTAGTAGGCAGTTGAGTGGAAGAAATATTGACAGGATGCCTTGAATTGAATTGGAATTGGGCACTATTCAAGCTCTTAATTTAAATCCAATTAAAAACCTCCAAGTACTTATTTAGAGCCAGATATATATGTTGATGTTGATTTAAAAACAGCTTTAAAATTTATTTTGACTCAGTTACCTTTAAACTATCTTACAGAGTTTTTGTGAGAGTTAAATACATTTAAAGTATTTAGGCCATTGGCTGACAAATAAGTAGGAGTTATGTAAGAGTCGTTTTGGCATTTCTGTTACTATTATTACTATTATTGTTGTTCTGGCATTTCTTTGGGTAGGTTACATAGAAGATGTTGAATAAAATTTTCAGCTTAAGAACTGCAAAATGAAATCATTTTTGACATTCCTTTAGAAATAAACTGCTCACGTAGAGAAAAAGTGCCCTGCCAGCGCAGGGTAGAAATGATTGGCTCAGAAGTATGGTTTGTAGTTCAGGTGGTCATCTCACCTGTAACAGGTTTCCAGGAACCCAAGAACTTTACCTCCTTACCATGAACAAATGATTTATGCATTTACTCTTTTTTTTTAAAGTTTATTTATTTATTTTTGAGAGAGAGAGAGTGAGCGCGAGCGAGCACAAATGGGGGAGGAGTAGAGACACAGGGAGAGAGAGAGAATCCCAAGCAGGTTCTGCACTATCACAGCAGAGCCTGATGGGGGGCTCAAACTCTTGAACTGAGAGATTGCAAGTTCACCTGCGCCCTGATCAAGAGGTAGAAACTTAACTGAGTTCGCCACCGAGGCACCCCTGCATTAAATCTTATTTAATCTCAGGGTTGTTTTAGACATAAGAAAGCTGAAGCCCAGGTGGATGAAGCAGCCTGCCCCAAGTCATAAGGCCATTGGGAAGGGGACTTCCTCTCCTCTATTTTGGGTCCTTCAGGTGGTCCAGAGGCTGCCGGTGCACTGTAGTGGCAGGCGCTCTGCATACAGGCCAGCCCTGCCGTCTAGTGATGTGACCTTGGGAGGGCTAGTTAACATCCCTGGACTCAGTCTGTTAAATGAGGAGCAGGGATGGAATTACCTCTCTCTAAAATTCTACTCTAAGATTCACTAACACATTACATGTAAGATAATGATGTTACTGGCCTCATCAGTTGACTGAGGATTAAATGAATAATTCCATGTGAAATGTGATTTCTAAGTGAAAAATGGATATAAATAGTATTTTTCTTTTTATGATCACCTTGACCAGTTTTTTTTTTTTTTTTTTTTTTTTTTTTTTGTGGATGGCAGGTGCTCAGGTAAGGGTCTCCTTCAGCTTTTGTATGTCCTGGTTGTAGTTATACATATCATCAAGTATATTCCTTTAAGGAAACGTAATCAATCACTGACTTTGGGGAAGCTACTTTTTATCCCCCCCAAGTTAAGATAAAGCCCAGTGGGGATTATCTAGCTCAAGTTGTAGTTATGTTGGACGTGTTTGAAATAAACTACAACTATAATTTTACTACCTAGTTCTTACTTGCTGATTGTTTCTTCAGAGACATTCTTCTAGCTGTTTCCATAATTTCCTTTTAGTTAAAGCAGAGCATCACATGTAAGTATGATATACTCTGAGTTGACCATTTTAGTGCTTGCCAAAGTTTCAGACACGTGGCTTTAAGGGCAGAGGAGACACAGGTCCAGCCTGATGGAGCCGAAGCAAGACCTTTCTTCATAGGCTTCAGTCTGTTTTTCACGTAAACTTAGATTTCTTTTGTTCCAGATAAACTGCTCTTATTTTAATGTCTGTTGTTATTTTTAATGTGGATGTCTTGCATCTTCACATAAAACTGTTAGATAGCTGTGCGGTATTAGGTGTTTCTGAGTACTCCCTGCCCCTCTTCCCATGAGCCTAGTTGGAGAAGGGCTTTAAGAGGTGTGCATACATGCCTCGACTCTTGAGTAGCAGTGGGTGAGGGAAGTGGGGATGTTCGGAGGAGAGGAGGGGGACTGATCATTGAATTCTCCATGTTCTTTCTTTCTTCTGGGGAGCAGCACTTGCTCACTGCCCCAAAATTCACGTGCCTCCTCTAAAAGAGGGGTCCCTGGAGCTGGGAAGCCTGCCGGCAGACGAGCCCCTCACACAGTCCTCTGGGGCCTGCTTGCTGTAGACTTTCCCTAGACATCTCTTGTCCTTAAAAAAAGTACATGGATGCATGAGCTAATATAGTATGACAGCCTAGCTCTTACAGTTCTCTGATCTTTGACAAATTATTCAACTTGTCTGGCCTCAGTTTCCAGGTTATGATACCTATTTTGTGAGTTGTTTAGAGGAATTAAACAGGGCTTGAAAAATAAAAAGTTAAAGCATTTAGGATGGTGCCTTGTGTGTACTAAGTATTTAGTAAGTCTTTGTTGTTTTTCCTATGGCTCAGCTACTGTCGATATCTATAACTATGATATCTTTCTTTCTATCTGGGACCTCTTCCCTGGATGCCAGACCCATACTTGGTACAGTTCACTAGACACACCAAATTCAGCATGTTTAGAACACAACTGGTCATTTTCACCTTCCCTTCAATCTTTTTTTTTTTTCTGCTTATGTTTTATATCTTGGTTGACCCTCTATGCCCCACATCACCACCAGTCTTTATCCAGACTATAGAGACTTTGAGTTATTTGCCATCCTTCCCCTGAACCCATGTCAATTTATTTGATCACTCATTCTGTATTGTCGACCTCAAATCTTATGACTATCTCCTCTTTTCTTTATCCTTGCCATCACTGCCTTAATTCAAGACTTCATTATTCCCTTTCTGGATTATCGCGGTAGCCTCCTGACTTAAATATCCGCCTGTGTTCTCCTTTCCAGTTTATTTTCTACAGTGTCACCCAGATGATCCTGATGTACAGCTGTCTACGTCACCCTCTTGTTTAAATGCTTCTAGTGGTTTCCCCATTGAAATGATGTTCCTTAGAAGAGACTCAAGATACTCCAAAGACTTTTTGAGCCCCTCCTTGCTGTTCTTCCTTGGATCCTATGTTCAAGCCATGGAAATGCAGGTCCTCAGACACCTCAGGTCTCTAGGTCTCTTGGACCTTGCACAGGTGTTCCTGCAGTCTGGTGAAGGGGAGCAGAATTTACCACCCCGAAGTATGCCTTAAGCTGGTTATTTTTAAGAAACTGCAGATAGAGGAGAAGCTCTGAAAACCATGTAGAAGTTACCCTTTAATAAGAGACATTTACATTTATAGGGGAAATATCCATTTGTAAGAGTGTCTCTCAGATGACTCTAAATATCTAGAAACTTATGAGTGGAGAGGGCTAGGCTTAAATCTGCCTAACAATCTTACTCATGTTCACTGTGCTTTTACTGGTCACCTCCCATAACTGACTCCCCACCCCCAACATCTTTTGTCTCTAGCTGAAGGTGATATTTAAATGTGATGGCTTTGGCCATTTGGGGGAGTTACTCAGCTCTCCTGTATATAGAGGGTACAGGAGGTACAAGTTATTAAGCTTTTGTTTTTCTCCTGTTAATCTGTCTTATGTCAATTAAATTATTAGACCAGCCAGAGAACCTAAAGGGGTAGAAGGGAAAACTTCTTTGCCTCTACACTGGTATGCCCTTTCCTTTACCTTTTACATTCTTATTCATCTTTCATACTTCATTCTCTGTGAAAGCTTTCCTGACTTCTTACAGGAGAATTAAGTGCTCTATGTTCTGTTTCCTCGAGGGCAGACAGTATCCTACCTATTTCTGTATAGCTCCTTGTAGCCAGTGCCTGGTTCTTGGTAGATTCAGTAATGAGTAATGAATGAGTGAATGATTCAGTAATGAGTGATGAATGAGTGAATGAAAGAATGAATGAGAAACTCCAAAAAATAGGGGTAAAAATCCCTGGGAGAGCAGGAACCATAGTTGTCAATCATGTTTGCCTTCACTGCTGTAATCACGAGAGCAGTCTGCCGCTCTGCTTCATCAGGGCAGTTAGGCAAGGCATTGGGAATAAATATGGAATGGAACCTAGGAGAAACTGGGTGGTGAAGAAGGGAGGGTAGGTATCAATTGGCTAATTTTTCTTTTGTCACAATATTGACACGATGCCTCCGTGCCTCCAGTCATATACAGGATTTTTTAGAATAGTACAGAATATACAGTATGGATAAGAACAGAGGTACTGCCACTTTTTATCTTCTCTATTTTTATTTATTTATTAAAAGATTTTATTTTTAAGTAATCTCTACACCCAACATGGGGCTTGAACTCACAACCCTGAGATCGAGTCACATGCTTCACTGACTGAGCCCACCAGACACCTCCCTATTTTGTTTACAATACGTGGTTTACAAATAACATTATTATCATAAATTTAATATATATGGCATAATTATGTAATAGATTACATAATCCAAACACAGATGTGAAGCATAATAAAAGTGGTTTTTCTATGGACACCCACACTCTTGTACATCTAAATAGCATCGCCTCTGTGTGTGTAGTCAAAGATGTGTTTGCTGTTGCTGCAAGTACCATTTCCAGAAATCAGATTTGCTTTCAAGGACAAAGATTGGCACCAACTGAGGATATTCAAAATAATGAGACTAATAATTCCAAAAGAAGAATTCCAGGAATAAGATGGACAATGGTAGCATTGTGATCATAGATACTCCAGTTCCCTTCAGGGACAACTCTTAACTTAAAAGTGGTTATTTTGGTATCTCTTCAAAAAAACCAGGGGCGCCTCAGTGGCTCAGTTGGTTAAGCATCTGACTTCGGCTCAGATCATGATCTTACTGTTCGTGAGTTCGAGCCCCACATTGAGTTCTGTGCTGACAGCTCAGAGCCTGGAGCCTGCTTCAGATTCTGTGTCTCCTTTTCTCTCTGCCCCTCCTCCAATCATGCTCTATCTCTGTCTCTTTCTCTCTCTCCTTCAAAAATAAATAAACATTAAAAAATTAAAAAACCAGACTGCCTGGGTGGCTCAGTCAGTTAAGCATCAGGCTGTTGATTTTGGCTCAGATCATGATCTCATGGTTCCTAAATTGAGCCCATCATTGGGCTTTGTACTGACAGTGCAGTGCCTGCTAGGGAATTCTCTCTCCACATTTCTTTCTGTCCCTACCCCACTTGTGCTCACTTGAGCTCTCTCTCTCCCTCTCACAATAAATAAACATTTTAAAAAAGGAATTGAAAAAAAAACCAGATCCAAGTCCTACCTGAGAAGTAGGCTTTTTAACTTGTTTAGAGCGAATTCCCTGGGCCAGGGGCTAGCATGTGAGCATGCTCCTATCCATGCTCCTATCCAGAGAATATTGGTTGGTTAGTGGCTGTGTCAGTCTGAGCTCTGTCTACATTCTTATTACTAGCCTGATGGCTTCTGCAGATGATTTACAGATGATACATCCCTAGAGGGTAGAGTTAGTTGATAGGAGATAGACCCCAAATCAGAATGGTCTTATAAAGTCTTGACTTATTTGTTGTGTAACTCTTGACCTATAATTTTACATATAGAAAAATTTTTCTAAGGGAACACTCAAGAATATGTGTGAAGATACAAGAACATTTATCACAGTACTTACAATATCAAATAAACAAAAGCAACACAAATATTTAATAATTTAATCATGGAAAGGAATGTTGTCTCTTCACTAAAATTGTGTTGCAAATGGATCATAAATATGAAAAATGCCCAGTTGCATTTATAATAAGAGAAATGCAAATTAAAACTACTCTGAGGTACCATTCGCATCCTCACACTGGCAAAAATTTACTCTGGATGAGGCTGTGGGAGGCAGACACTTATACATTGATGGTAGGAGTGTTAACTGATGCATCTAGGATCAGTGCCTTGTGCCTGATCGGCCTGTAGGTGAGATTTGGGCCCCTGTGCCCTCTGGCCTGTCCCCCTCCACCAGCCCCGAGTATTCCCAGCTAGTCAGCCGCCCTCTCTTGCTGACTTCCCCTGCCACCTCCCACAGTAGCGCCGTGGGGGTCTGCTGTTAGGCCAGGTGAGGCTGCAGCCATCCCCATCCCACCCATCGTCCTGGCACCTCGGCTGTGAGGCAGAGGTACAGGCCTGCTGCTCTGTCCTTTTTGACTCTAAGAGCAGCTGTTAGCTTTGAAGTGCAGCATGTCGTTTATGCAGGACATGGTAGGCAGCTCAAAAAAAAAAAAAAAATCCCTGTGGAGGCCAATTTGGATATTTCTGTCAAAACTACAGATACATATACTTCTGATCCATCTCTTCCATTTTCAAACTGCATCCTACAGATATATTTGCATCCATGTATGATGACATATGTATGAGGCTATTCACTGAAGTATTGTTTTGTAATAGCTGAAGATTGGAAACAACTCAAGTGTCCATCAACAGGACACTGGCAAGAGAAATTATGCTACATTCATCAGTTATGCAGCTGTAAAAAAGAACAAAGACATTCTGTGCAGAAACGGAAAAAGAAAAGATCTTTAAGTAGAAAAAGCAAGGAACAAAACAGTGTACAGTATGTTGCATTTTACCTTTTAGGTGAAAAGGGGGGACATACGAAGCTGTATTTGCTTGTAGATTCATAGGGAAATTCTGGAAGGATACAAAAGAAATTAAGAACAGCTGTTCTTTTTTGGAGGGCGAGGATTTGGAACTAGGCAGATGGAGGATAAGGATGGATTGGAGACATGAATATATTATAAGAATAGTTATTAAGAACTATTATAAGAATAGTTAATGACAGCAAAAAATACTCATATTTATTAAGTGGAAAAAAGCATGTTGAAAATTTTATATATAATATGATGCATATTTTGTAAAAGAATGTACTCATGTAAAATAAAGCTTAGAAGGTTGTACACCAAAGTGTTCATACTGTATCTGAGTGCTGGGGTTATATATTAATCATAATGTTTATCATTTGCTTTCTGGGCTTTTTAAGATTTTCTGTAGTCAACATGTATTGTTCAACATGTAAGCAATGTCAATAACCTTTCTAAAAAGTGATTAAAAAAAAGTCAAGGATCAGTGTTGGGCAGAAATCAGCAAGATAAAACAATCAGAATTACTCTGAAAGTTTCAGTTTCAGGGTGCCTGGATGGCTCAGTTGGTTTAGCATCCAACTCTTGATTTTGGCTCAGGTCATGATCTCACTCTTGTGTGATTGAGCCCCATGTAGGGCTCTGTGCTGAGCGTGGAGCCTGCTTGGGATTCTCTCTCTCTCTCTCTCTCTCTCTCTCTCTCTCCCCTCTCCTTTCCCTCTCCCTCCCTCCCTCTCTCTCTTTCTGCCCCCCCAAAATAAAATAAACATTAAAAAAATAAAATAAAATTTCAGTTCCAAAATCACTTGCAAAAGTGTGGGCCTGTTGGAGACGTGAACATTCCAGCAGAGACCGGTGACCCCTGCCAGGAATCTGCACAGATCGTTGGCTTGGGTGCAAGCCACAGCAGCTGCCCTCTAAAGCTCTAATCCTAAGATAATATGTTAGTCGTGGGGAAAAAGTCAGTGATAGGATAACTGGGCTAAAAATACTTCTAGTGTAGAGGTGCTTAGAAATTTGCTGTAGGCAAGACTATAAATATTGTGAAATAGATACATTTAGATCAATAAAAGTGTGAAACATGAAGTAGGAGGAACAGTGATGGTCAACCCTGGTAGAGAGAAGACAAAGATGTGTGCAGATTTCAGATAGGTTGTTGAGGGATCGTGTAACCATTTGCTGGAATCTTCAGCCCTGGAGCATTTGCTTGCCACGTGTCCTGTTCCTGTTCTTACAGGACAGGAAGAGGCGGTGGGCCTTCTGCCACGCCCCTCTCCACATTTTATGTTTGAAGGTGCAGCATTTGTGTGAAATAGCACCTTGCACTTTCTGGAAATCTCTTGGGGAGATGCAGAAGGAAGGAGATTCGAGGCCCATGGCTATACAGAACTAGGCGTGCCAGTAATATCGACATAGCATCTGTAAGGTGTAGCTTAGTGTGCAGAGTGCTTTCACGTGCACTCTTTCCCTCAGTCAGGTTCTCTTGACGCCCCAGTTTTTTTTCAGCATTCTGTCTTTTTAGGTCATGCATTCAAGGGCTCTAACTTCCATAAGGGTAGAAAGCATGTCTGTCCTGCCTGCCCAGCATGTAGCCCAGTGGCTGCCCCAGAGCAGGCAGGCAGTCAGCGAATGAACTTTAATTTCCCTCACTCTTCTATTTGGTTGGAAGGTGGTGCATGCTCCCTGTTTGCAATGCTAGCTCTTTCTTGGATGAAGCCTCACTCTGCTGTTACTAACTCTTCCCTGTCTTCTAGCTTATCGCACAGATGACTGCCAGCCATGGGTTTTGCCAGTCGTGAGGAAGGTGGAGCAGAAGATTGCTAACGACAATAGCCTAAACCATGAGTACCTGCCCATCCTGGGCCTGGCGGAGTTCCGGACCTGTGCGTCCCGCCTTGCCCTTGGGGATAACAGCCCAGCTCTCCAGGAGAATCGGGTGAGTTTTGAGTGAGGGTGTGCAGTTGACCCATGGACAGTGTGGGGGTTAAGGGTGCTGACTCTGTGCCACACTGAGTCAAAAATCCTTGTATAACTTTTGACTCCCCAAAACTTTACTCATAGTCTACTGGAAGCCTTATGGATAACATAAACAGTCAATTTATGTATGTTGTATGTATTCTATACAGTATTCTTACAACAAAGTAAGCTAGAGAAAATGTTATTAAGGAAATCATAAGGGGCACATGGGTGACTCTGACTTTGGCTCAGGTCATGATCTCACAGTTCGTGAGTTTGAGCCTGGAGTTAGGCTCTGTGCTGACAGTGCAGAGCCTACTTGGGATTATCTCTCTCTCTCTGCCCCTCCTCGACTTGCACGTGCACGCGCGCTCGCTCTCTCTGTCAAAATAAATAAGTAAACTTGTCCGGGGCAAGATGGCGGAGAAGTAAGGAGCTCTGTACTTGCACTCGCGCCCATACATCACACAGAAAAGATCTGAAGCCATTGGAAACCTTACAAAACCTGAGAGATTGGGAGAAAAAAAGACGCAGAATCCACTGAGAGAGCCTTCTAACGTGAGTGCGAACCGGGGAAGA